ACTTCCTTGAGATGGTATAAAAAGCAAGGAAGGAGGTAGAACCAGGATGTGAACCCCAGAAGTCTGGCTCCAAAGGTCATATTCTTTTCTTTCTTTTTTTTAAGTAAGTGTATGTGTGTCATTTATTCATTCATTCAATCAATCAATCAATCAATCAATCAATCAATTTCTGCACCCAACGTGGGGCTTGAACTCACGACCCTGAGATGAAGAGTCGCATGCTCTTCCAGCCAGGTTCCCCCAAAGGTCCTAATCTTAACCAGTGTTCTTTCTTTCTTCTCAGGGAAAACCAAAAGCCTCTGGATATAGGTTGAATGGGGCTTGAACATAAGCCATATAAGGACCCTACAGGAATTCTGGAAAGCTGGCAGTTAGAGGGACTGTGGCCAAAGTCTAGGCAAAATCCAGAGCTGTCTGGGGCATCTCATTTGAACCTAGTCTTTATGATCTGGTTCAGGATTATCAGAAGACTTCACGCTCAGGAGAAAGGTTCTAGCTCTCAGATATGGAAGCTGTAGACATTGGCTATGTTTAGACCCCAAACCCACCAGTGCTGGGTTCTATCCTTCCCCAGTGAATGTTCCCAAATCAAAAGAAGAGGATAGATATGTGTATTCCCACTGCTGGGAAGCAGGAAGAACAAATACAATTCACAGATAGTTAAGAGATCCATAAAGTTAGTAAAACAAAATATCCTAAATATGTTACTAATCACAAAGACTTAAAATAATCCTCCCAAGACCAATGATGCTAATAAAACTTGACCCCTACTGAATTACTATATTTGTTTACTATGTTTGTGATTCACATACAGGGAACAAGATGCTAAATTACTAATGAGTTCGGAATTAACTTTCCTTAGTGGTGGTTTAAAAGGAAGAAAAAAGTTTTGGTCTGTTTTCCCAGAGGAAAACTAGGTATTAACCATGGAAAACAAATGCCGCTCTATTAGTATAAGTAGAATGTAGGTGAGAAAAGAATTACACACTTCAGAAGGTCACCTGATGTTCATTCCCCCTCACTCAAACTCAAGGGGGGAGGGTCTTTCCTACAGCCTGGTACTCACATTGCACTTCCCCAAACCATAAAATGATTTCACACCTCTCCTCAAACCTCTGGACCTCACTCTCAGCTGATGGTCCTGCTTCCTACCTCACTGAGGAAATTAAAACAATCAAAAGAGCACGTCTGCAGATCCCCACCAACACACGTACCTAATACTGCACATGCACTCTGCCTTCAAGGCTCTTAACAGGCCAGAACTATCAGTGCTCCTGCCCAAGGCCACCCCCTCATTGCACGCTTTACCCCACCCTCTCTCACCTACTGGAAACCTCACTCCAGCAGTTTTTCCTTTCCGCTGGACCACTCCCTTTCATGCACACTGCGATGTTCTATGTGCTAACAAATGTACACACATATTTGGTAATTCTACCATCTTAAAGACAAGACCTCTTTACTTCACTTGTTTGAACTGTTCCTACTCCGTTTCTTTGTCCTGACCATTGGCAATGTAGCTTTTGCATTCACTACTGCACCTAAATGGCTCCTCCCAGTTACCAATAATCACACTGCTAAATTCAGGGGTCAATCTCTAGTCCTCCTCCTACTTCAGCTGCATCTTTACACCACTGATCTTTTCCTTCTCCTTGAAATGCTTTCTTCTCTTGATGTCTAGGCTGCTACACACTCTCAGTTTTCCTCCTGTCTTCCTTCTGGCTTCTTCCCAGTCTCCTCTTGCTGCTTCTTCCTACTCTGCTGGACTTCTTCATGTTGCAATGCTTCCAGGCCTAGTGCTCGGTACTGTTCTCCTCTCTCATCTACACTCACTCACTCAGTGATCCTACCCAGTCCAGGCTAAAGTCCATCTCTAGGCCAATGGCTCCCAAATGCCTGTCTGCAGTCCGGGACTTCTCCCAAACTCCAAACTCACACAGATACTTGTCAGTTTGACATTTCCACTAGGATGTCGGATAGACATCTCAAACTTAAATGTCTAAAACTGAACTCATCATCTCTTCCCCCAAATCTGTTCTTCTGCAGATTTCTCTATTCAGTTTATGGCAACTTCATCCTTCCCACTGTTTGGGCCCCAAACCTGGAGGCATCCCCAACTCCTATCTTTCTCTCCCACCTCCTATTGGCTCCACCTTCAACATTCATCCAGAATCTAATCACTTTTCACTACCTCCAGGGCCACTACTCCAGCCAAAGCCACCACCATCTCACAAGGATTACTAGAATAGCCTCCTAATTGCTTTTCCTGTTTCCAACCTTCCCTCCCCTGTCTATTCTAAATACAGCAGCCAGAGCTTATTTTTGTTTTTAACTGTTTACTATGGAAATTTAAAAACCTATATAACGGCACAGAGAATACTAATCATGACCCCCATATACCCATCAGCCAGCTTCAATAGGAATTAATGTATGACCAATCTTGTTTCATCTTTAGCCCCCACAGTACCCTGCCCCCAGATTATTTTGAAGCGAGTATTAGACATCATATCATTCTACAGAGTGATCCCTTAAAAACACAAGTCAAATCATGTCCCTTGCCTGCTCAAAGCCTGTCAATGGCTCCCCCTTAAACTGAGAGTAAAAACAAACGGTCTCATAAGGGCCCTGGAAGCCCCACACCAGGGGCTGGCAGCCTATGGCCCACAGACCAAATGCAGCAGCTGTCTGCTTTTGTGTGGCCCAAGAGCTAAGAATGGGAACTGAGGATGTTTTTACATTTTTAAATGATGTAAAAAATAAAAAGAAGACTACTTCATGACATGTGAACTAATATGAAATTGAAATTTTAGAGTCCATAGAGTTTAACTGGAATACAGCCACGTTCACCTGCTTAAGTACTGTCTGTGCTGTCTCTGTGCTCAAGGCAGAGCTGAGGAGTTGCATCACAGCCCGTATGACCTGCAAAGCCTAAAATATTTCTCTGGCAGCTCACAGAAAAAAAAACTGCCAACCCCTGCCTTAACCAGTCAAGTTCCCATATGACCTCTCTGATATTCTCACTCACTCCATTCTAGCCTCATTAGCCTCTTTACTGTCACTCAAACAGGCCAGACACACTCCTATCTCCGATCATCGGCTGATCCCTCTGCTGGGAATATTTTTGCCCGAAATACCTGCATTGTTTTCTCTTACCTTCAAGTCCTTCCTCAAATGTTGCCTCTACCATGAGTCCTACTCTGACCACTCTATTTAAACCTGTAATGCATGCCCCCTGCCCCACACTCCCCACCTTCTGACCATACTCCACATTTTTCCTTTCTATAGCACTTCCCATTTTCTCATGCACCATTTAGTATTTATTCCTTATTCCCTATTTCTCCCAACTCAAACCTACGTTCCACGGCACAAGGTTCTTTGTTGGCTTGCTGATAAGTCCCAAGTGCCGAGAACAGTGCCTGGCACACGATTAGGCACTCAAATATTTGTCGAATAAATGTAATTCTTTATAATAAAAAATTTAAGAGTCTTAATTTGGTAAAATCTTCACAAAATGCAGACTCTAAACTCTAGGTAATAAAAGTAAGAACCATTGCCCTGCAGATGAAAAACCTACTCCAGAATGCTTCCTCCATCCATCTGTTCATCTATCCATCAATCTAGTATTTACTGTCTGTCTGCCATGTCAGGGGTGTGGGGGATCTAAGGATGAAACAGTCTGAGCTTACAGTCTACTAAGGAAGATAAATCTCAGAGAATAACTCAGACAGTGTGGCAGAATGTGGTAACGTGGGGCTGTAATGCCAACTCAAGTCTGCTAAGATCAAGGCCAGTGTTTTCTTTCACCACAGTCATGCTGCCAATTATTAACTATTCTAAAAAATCCTCCTTTGGGCGCCTGGGTGGCTCAGTCATTAAGCGTCTGCCTTCGGCTCAGGTCATAATCCCAGGGTCCTGGGATCGAGCCCCACATTGGGCTTCCTGCTCCGCGGGAAGTCTGCTTCTCCCTCTCCCCCTGCTTGTGTTCCCTCTCTCGCTGTCCTTCTGTCAAATAAATAAATAAAATCTTTAAAAAAAAAAATCCTCAAAAAAAATCTTTAAAAAAAATCCTCCTTTAAAAGATAGATAGGGAGAAAAATGCAGGTACTACGATAATGAAAGTAAGTAAATTAAAGGATATAATTTCAATGTGCTATTATAAAATGGCTAATAATGGGGCTCCTGGCTGGCTCAGTTGGTGGAGCATATGACTCTTGATCTTGGGGTTGTTTGAGCCCCATGTTGGGCATAGAGATAACTTAAAAAATTTTTTAAATGGCTAATAATTATAAAAACATGGAAAATATTTCAGTTTTTTAGTGGGGAGAATGACTATTATAAACAAATCTATGATACAATTAAATATGGATATATTTATGCAATAAACACTAACTGAGCACTGACAATGGACAGGCACTCCCCTTTCTGCTACGGGAAATCCAAGGAAGAATGATGCACAACCTTGGTCCCCAAGGGGCTCACATATGAGGAGCAACCAGGACAGAACTTAGGAAAACCTAACAGGCAATGCATTAAAGTTAGTAGATCCTGTGGGATTAGTGTTCCCTTAAACTGTTTTCCTTTGTAACTGCTGTCCTTAAATAATATCAGCAGAAAAAAAAAGTTAAAAAAGAGGCAGGACAAAGTATCCAATTCTGTCAGATGTAAAAAATGAATTTAAGAAATTAAAAGGGTCTTCGGGGTCCAGACTGTGTTCTTTAAATACCATTTCTCAGTAAAAGAACCAGGTTTACTTGGAGGAGTGGCTGATCCCAGGTCTGCAGCAAGAAATCTACAAGATGAGCCAGACAGCAAGAAACCTCAGGAAACACCCAGAGTCACCGTCCCTAAGTGATGACATCATATGGCTCCTTTTCTGTGAAGAACCTTAGCAGGCAATTCTAACTCTAACCAACCTGTAGCTCCTATGCAGGAGGCCTGGGGCGTAGAAGGGTCAACCCTTCTGCCTTTGCTGGAGGTAACTGGCCTCTCGCAATCTCACCCACCATCCCCCCCACTGTCGCTGTTGGGGGCACCAGCAGCTGCTTCCGCTTCGTGCAGCTGTATTCCGGTACCCCAGACATCTCTGAAAACTCTACTTGTACTACCATATACAACAAATGTGTCTGTGAGAGTGACTCTCAAACCTATCTACCAGGATTTATACGTTTAGATGCATCTTTCCCTACCAAAATGAGTTGTCCTTAGTCCAGCAACAGAGTCACTGGTTAAATTATCCTGGAACCTGAGTCCATCCATAGTTGGTGGGTGAGCTGCACAGGAACATGGGCCTGGTTGTTTTAAGAGTTATGGCTTGTTTCCACCCAGGATGGTATCATCTAGCTTCAGAACTCACCTAATTCATCAGAGATCTGACAGCAAAGGATGGAAATTAACTACCATTATGGATGAAAAGAGTAGGCTGAAGCGTCCAGAGGCAATGTCTAAAAAAATGGCTTCAGGAATGGTCTGTGCAATGGCAGAGCCGTAGGAGTGAGTGGGAGGCCTCCCAAGTAAACTTTCAGTTACGAGGCGGCTGTCACTGGCAAGTTGAGTCTGGCCAATTCAGTGGTGGCCTTGGTGACTTACCTGAATACAAGCCCCTGTCTTCAACTTGCACAGGTTGCAGACTAAGGCCCATCGACTGGGTGGGATGTGGGAGACCTTTGTGATTGGTTCCATCCTCTCAGGACAAGCAATGCTGACCTACAAATAAAACATGACCATAAGGCAGAGGCACCAAGGCATTCCAGAAATACCTTTCACAAACCACAAATGATATCACATGAAGCTCAGAACATCAGAACAATGAGGTGAGCCACATCTCTTAAGGTTACTATGGAACCAAGAATAAATAAAAGCTGTCCCTTGCCACTGCTCAGACCTTCGATCATTTCCAGTAATGTAAATGATTCATATATAGAATGAGAGGGGGCAGGAGTGGAGATGGAGCATGGTTACCTTAATCAATCCAAGATATCTACACTTTACTTCGGAACCAAAGAAAGCCACTAAGGAAAGGAATTAAAATTCACAAAATCTAGCATCTATTATATGTTAGAGATGGTGCCATATGCCTTGTTTTGTCATTTATTTGACTAAGGATAAAAAACAGGCAGTGACAAGCCTTTCAGTTCAGTGTACCAAGAAACAGGATACTGCTGGAAAGTAGCAGCAATCTGGGTGATGAAGAGGTTGCAGCACAGAAGTAGGAAGGATGAGGATGAAAACATTTTCAAACCCCAGTCTTTTAAATCATGTAACTATTAACAGTTTGCTCTATTCTTTCAGCCAAAGTAGCTTCAAAGTGAAACCAGTCTTTGGGAGAGTACTGAAAGGAAGGCAGGCTTTAAAAAGAGATGGAAAACATTTTTTTCCATATGAAAATAAGGGGTTAGGCAACTTCTGGTAAAAAGTGTTCTCCTGCTCTCTTACAGATGTGTACATGAGTTTCTAAGAGAGCCACAACTTTAAAAAAGAGTGAAGGACTATTGAATAAAGCTAGTGAAACTAGTACAAGTTCTACCCACAGCAAGAAATGAACAGTAGAAAGATCAGAGCGATCTTGAGCAACTCAAAAGGTACTAAAAACCCTAAGACAAAGTCAATAGATAAGAAAGCTTCTTTTAGGGGCGCCTGGGTGGCTCAGATGGTTAAGCGTCTGCCTTCAGCTCAGGTCATGATCCCAGGGTCTTGGGATGGAGTCCCACGTTGGGCTCCTGGCTCATCGGGGAACCTGCTTTCCCTTTCCCTCTGCCTCTCCCCCTGCTCGTGCTCTGTCTATATCTCTGTGTCTCAAATGAATAAATAAAAATTTAAAAAAAAGAAAGCTTCTTTTATTTCTAAAGGACTCTTCTGGAGTCATGTTCTAAACTCATTATGCTGAGAAAGCCTGCTCTATTAGCTGGCCGTTTGCTGCAGGAAACCAGTCACTCTCAGGCCAGAAACCCGAGAGTTCATGTCAGTCTATAAGCTAGATATTCTTAGTACGAAAAAGAAACCATTACTCAAATATTTTAAAAAACACTTCTCTATCCCTAAGAATACCACAGTATTTATTACGGACAGTTTAACTCTGTGAGCTTGAGCTCGACTGTTAGATAGTTAACTCCCCTGGAACTGCCATTAACAAGAATAAAGCCAGGGAAGTTTTAAAAGGGGAATGAATTACCGATACAGTGTCATCAGCTACTGAATTCTAAAGTCTCTCTCTTTTTTTTTTTTTAAAGATTTTATTTATTTATTTGAGAGAGAGAGAATGAGAGAGAGAAAGCACATGAGATGGGGGGAGGGTCAGAGGGAGAAGCAGACTCCCTGCCGAGCAGGGAGCCCGATGCAGGACTCGATCCAGGGACTCCAGGATCGTGACCTGAGCCGAAGGCAGTCGCTTAACCAACTGAGCCACCCAGGTGCCCAATTCTAAAGTCTCTCTTGCCCTGCAGTTAAACTGCCTAACAAATTTGCTAGCTTGGATAGGGGCTGGGGAAAGAGGATGTGAATGGGATGTTCAAACAGGTTTGTTTTTTTTTTTTTTTTTTTAAAGGCAGCCATAAGAAGGACAAGTAATGTTTGGATGCTCTCTTTAATCAACTTAGTGTGCACACAGCCCCTTATAAAATATCAGCAACTGAAGGACCAGATTAAATAATGAGGGATGGAGTTTTGAATAAAGAAGCTCTTAGACAAATGTTGAGTCCAAGCTCTGAAAAGAGCTTCAAAAATCAAAGGGCAACCATCATAGTGGGCGAAAGAACTATTGCTCACTTTATTTGGAATAGCCTAACACTGGAAACAACTGAAATGCCCATCAAAGAATGGATAAATAAATCATGGTATATCCATACAATAGCATACTACTCAACAATAGAAATGAATGCGTGTTGATACACACAACAAGGAATGCTAGGCAGACAGAAAAGATTGCATACTGTATGATTTCATTTATATGAAATTCAAAAACAGACTAAGCTAATCTACAGTGATAGCAATCGCAATGGTAAATAGAGACCCAGATAGGGACTGGAAAGTGGGTATGAGGGATCCTTCTGGGGTGCTCTCTATTTCTGGGGTGTTCCAGGTCTTGGTCTGGGTTGTGGTTATAGATAGGTGTAAAAATTCATCAAACTGGGCACTTTGTATTTGGTATTTTAAGTAAGTTTCACCTTAAAAAAATCTCACATTCTGGTCTTTTGTGCCTCTCTTCTCATACAAACTTATCCAGTAGCACTGGTATCACCACCTATAAGTGAATCAGTACGGGCTTACATGCTCACTTGCATCTGAGAAGGATGTGAGGGAGCTCAAGTAGAAGCCCCATCACCTCAGACACATGGGCAGGCATGAAGCATCTCCACGAAGCCCAAGCCGTTCTGAATGCTGTGGGAAACAGGGGCCTCCTGGAGCAAACAGGCTCACAGGCCTGGATGAGTTCTTACCTCTGGAATCCACAGGGCACAGCTGACGTGAGCCCATTTAGTCCCTGTCCTGGTAGTTTTCATGGCCCCCCCTCTCTTTGGACATAACAGACATTGCGGATGAATGCCCAGGACGCAGGAACGACACAGCCAGCTGCCTTCTGGGACCTTGAGGATGCCGTAGCAGGCCTGGGGGCACGAGGAGGAGAGGGGAGAATGGTTAGCATCTTCTCACCAAGAATGATGTCTGCTCTGGTACACAGTCACAGAGTACCCTCCGCTTTTAGGAGAAAGAGGCAAATAAGGCCCAACAAGCTCATATCTGGGATTTAGTAATTTTAAAACACTCAAAAAAAGGGCAACTTCCAGCATCTGTTCTAAGATCGGCATGTCTATGAGAACTGACTTTAAGGACAAAAGAATAAGACTAGAAGGAAATATATCCAAAGGCTGGCCCAACTGTTATCTGAGTTTGAGGATTACATGCTTTTTTCCTTTTTTTGCCTCTGTTTTCTAAAGTTTCTTCAATGATTATGTATTATACTTATCAGTCATATATTTATTGAATAACTTCTACATGTCATGCACTGTTGTAATCAAGAAAAAAGTGTTAAAAAGGAAACAGAATGAAACTTCTGAACAGCAAATGAGCTAATGTTCAAAGAGCCTAACAGAGCCTGGTGCATAAAAAGCACTCAGCAAATCACAGCAATTACTTGCTTGGGTTGAAGAAAAAGGGACTTGTGAATGAATCCTGAATTGAATAGAATATTAGACTAATCACAATACTCCATAATGAGTTCTGAAAGCTGCTTCAAATCCTTTATGGAATGAAGTTGGACAAATAAATGAATTACTGGGGGAGGGGAGATAAGTTTGGAAAACATTCTAGATTTCCTTTTCACTACCTCCAACCTCACCCATCTTTCCCTTCCTTACTGCTCTACTCTGACCATTAAGGACTAAACCTGGGGGCCACCTGGCTCCCCATGTGGCCTGGCATACTTTCCACCACTGACTGATTCACCAAGGCAGCTTCAAAATCTGTACCTACCCCAGGAGGTTCACCCATAGCTTGGATTCAGGTTCCAACGGTTACTATCATGTTACCCCTGAACTGGTCCTTTTTCCCTAAACTATCCATATCACTCACCATGCTTCCCAGCTTCCAGATCCAAAATTCCTGTACTCATATTATCTACTTCCCTTTGTCTACCGCCCCTGGGGCATGCTAGTCCTCCCTACAGAGGTGGCCCTTAGGCTCTGACCTTCCTCTCCAACCCCACCACAACTGCTCCATCCATCCAAGTCCTTATCATGTTATGCCTGGATTGATTTATTCCTAAATTCTCTTCCACCCCCTTCACACCTTCAATCCTCCTTCTATTTGGCTGCCATGTTCTTCTTACTAAAACAAAGATTTCATTCCATTGCACAGCAACAAACCCTCTAGAAATTCCTTCTGTTCTCACCCCACCATCGTCTAAACCACAGGTTGGCAAACTACTACTTGAGGCCTGTTTTGCAAGGCTAACAAGCTAAGAATGGTTTTCATATTTTTAGAGTGATGTTTAAAAAAAAGAATACGTTACAGAGACCGTATGTGGCCCTCAAAGTCTAAAATATTTACTATCTGGCCTTTCAAAGAAAAAAGTCTGCTGGCTTCTGATCTAAAGCCTGATGTTTCTCACCTCACTTCTCAGTTCATAGAGCCCCTGTGTCTGCTCCACTTCTTGACCCCTGCCCAGTACTCAACATATAGCTTCCCTCACCAGGTATGTGGTTGGCAACATGTATCCTTCTCTACTTTAGCTGTTATGTTTCATCTCCTCAGTGAGACTCTAAGGTCACTGGGGTAGGTCTTTTATCATCAGTTATCTGGAATGTTTTCTATGCTGAGATCAAATAGGCAGTTTGGTAGAACAGATTAATTTAGGTCAAGAACTGAAGCTGAACTCCAACCAGGCTGCTCTTACAACAGCAGGGCATCATTTTATAAGGTTCCTGACCTTCAAAAGCTTTTCTTTCTCTGAGGTCCAGAAAGTTTGCTAGGAAATGAAAGCAAGCTTCCTCCTAAAACAGAACCTGTTTTGGACCAGCAGAAGAAAAACCAGTGGTTCTAGGAATACCCTTTATCTTCTGGCCCTTCCACTGGGCAGAATATCATTTACTGAGCCCTTGTGTAGACTTATTCATGGTGAGCTTGTATTGTATAGCAGCGGTTCTCAATTTTCTCTAGACCACATGATGAAGGCTGTGGACTCTCCTGAGAAAATTCTACACATGCACAGACATATGTTCTACATATACTTTCAGGGGGGTTAATAAACTCAGTGCCAAACATATATATGACAGATATAAAAAACTATGAGCATGTACCTTCAGACAAATTAATTTAGGCCTCAGTTTGAGTGTTCAATACCTGGGCTAAGAACCAAAAATGGAATATACAAAGGGACTTGGAATGCTCCCAATTTTCACATTTTTAATGTTAAAATCTCAAGTCTATTGATGTAAACCTCTCTTCTAAAATACTGACACAAGTGTGTTATAGTCACAGAGGAACAAATATTTGACATAATGTGGAGGCAGTAAGGAAGAAAAATTATGTTTAATAAATATAGATGTCAGCATGTCCCTGATTCTGTTAAGGAGTAAACCAAATCCTCCAAATCATTTTAAGTCACTTTTCAGTCAACAGAGGGAGCTCTAACCTAAGTATCTCTTTAGAAGTCAAGTGACTATACTCACTTTGGAAGAAATCTCTTTTATATGAAACTTTATGTGGCACCAACATCCAGCTTTAATACATACCAGCTTATATTCTGCAAGGCCTGGTCAGGTGTTACTGTCATCCCTTTCTATGTGAGGAAAGCGCATCATTTATAGTCATTAATGGATATGTTTTCAAAACAAAATAATCTTTGAGGAGAATTATTAAGTTACATTTCAGTTTTTAGCCAAGGAATCTGAAAATAATTCCTTAATATTTGGTCCCAACTGTGAAGGACAGATACTGGAAATATATACAGATAACCTTTGTACTATTTTCCCTTCAAGCCTACAATCATTTATCTGAAAACCCTAGGGTGAGAAACATAAGGAAATTCAGAATTGTTCAGACCTTAGGAAAGTAGTAAGTACATACGTGGTATACTACCTAAACCCCAATGGGACCAGGCGCAGTACCCTATTATCAAATACATTAATATTATTCTAGCAAACTATATGAGCATTTATACAAAATGGGATAAAGACTATAAACTGCCCCATATTGGGTGAGTTCTAGTATTGCCCTTAATCAGTTTTGGTGCCAAACTTAAGCAAAACCTTGCAGTTTTCAGAGCTTTTGAAATTTCTGGAATTGTAGAGGAAAGACTGTGGACCTATATGTTATCAAATATTTACGTTAATACCTAAATGATATTTCCTCTCTCGCTAAAGGTGTGACATAAGTGCCAATAACTGGTAGAAGGAAGATAAATTTTTGAAGTTCACTCTTTCAAAGGAAACAAGTAAAATGAAGAAGATCTAATTGGTCACAGAAAAATTTTGAGTACCTTTTAATACAGAGGGTTAGGTTAGGTGGCCCAGGCAATTAAAATAAAGTTGTAAGCCCTGTTTTTTCTCGATCTCCTGTGTTACCTAATCATTTTATTTATTAAAAAATTTTTATTTTAAGTAATCTCTATGCCCAACATGGAGCTCAAATTCATGACCCTGAGATCAAGAGTCACATGCTCTACTGACTGAGCCAGCCAGGCGCTCCACTGCGTCTAATCATTTTAGTCATTTTGTAGCCAGAATGACCTTTCTAAAATACAACTCCTAGCCTTCAGGGTTGACAGGACAAAGCCAAAGTTCCTTAGTCTGTCAGCGAAGGCTGGTCACCTGTGGCTCCGGTATCCCTCTCCACCCTCGCTCTCCATCCTCCTCTACTCCACCCCACCACCTCCCACAGCTCTGAACAGCTCCAGAGTTGCCTCCCGTATACTTAGCCCATTCTCACTACCCTGCCTGAATGGGTTCTCCTCTCTGCCTGCTGTTCTTTGTGGCAGTTAGAGTCAGCTTGGATGCCACTTCTCCAAAGCTGTCCCTGACCCCCAACCCTCCCATGTACTCTCACAGCAGCATGGACTTCCATCCACAAAACCACCTGGCACACTGTGCTAAAGGGGCAGTACCCTTGTAGCCCCTATACCGGCCTCTGGTGACCCCGGGGGCCAAGACCATGTCTGCCTCTTCGTCACTGACTGTGTCTTCAGCATGTGGCACAGTCCTGGCACATGGCAGCATGGTGTTCCATACCTATCTGCTAGATAAATTAATGAGAGAAATGAAACACACAACAGGTTCAGAAGAGTGAAAAATTATTTAGGGTAGGGGAGTTCAAGAAAAGGTTTAAATCAAATCTTGGAAGTTCTATAGATTTTTTTATAGATGGAGATGGGAGAAAGCATTTTAAATTGGAGTGTGGCCAAAACATGAAGACAGGACAGTGTCAGGAATAGTCATCACTGCCCCCTTAAGTAAACTTATTTCGCTGGAGCATAGGGCTTACGAGGGGAAGAAAAGGAAAGAGCTGAAAAGAATGTTGATATCATCATCATCAATTAAAAATGCATTGTGGTAGAAAGGATGACAAATAACTAGCTGTAAGAGCTTGGGTAAAGTCACTTCATCTTTCCTGGTATTATTTGTAAAACTGAGGAGTGGGATGGTCTTTTATAGTCCTAAAATTCTATGATCTTTAAAAGCATAGTAGACTCAGCTTCCTGGGAGTTATATATCGGGAGGGCTCTGGGTGCTAGGATAAAGAGTCTGGACTTCCACCTGGAGGAACTATAATCTCCATCAAGGTTACTACCCATGAGTGTAACTTGATGATGTAACAGGGATTCAAAGGTGAAGGAGAGACTCCCAGGCAAGCAACAAGGAGACTCCCCAGGGGACTATAAAAGTCTTGAACAAGGCAAACTCAATGGCATATATATGAAGGGATACAATAAAAATCTGGGTTTAGCTCCTGGGATAAAGTTAGCAATTAAGTCACCTTGGGGATCATAAATATTGTTTCTAAAGGAATTACTGAAGAACAGCCAGGCCAAATCTTTATTTTCATCCTTATTAAATGCAAATTGCTACCCAGATATGGGTGCTGGAGACCATCAATGAGCTTCAGAAAGGCTGACCGTGGGGAGGTGGTGGTCTCCACTCTCACTAACCTGATGCACACAGACGTTACACTTATCACAGAACACCATATCATTCCCTTCTTCACTGTCTGGAGACCGGCACACATCACAGATCACATCTTCATCATACTCTATGCCTAGCCCTTCCTCTGTCTCAATAGCATGGTTCATATTTTCATGGCAATGGCGTTCCAGGACTTCTACTGTCTTTTCCATAAGATTCTCATCAACTGGCCCATAACCTGCACAGAAATACAAACAATCAATCAACCCATCAGTCAGCTGTCATTCCCAAATCACCTACTGTGAGTCCGGTGCAGAGATGGAGGGATTCTAAAAGATAAAACCATCTCTTCCCTGATCTAAAACAACCGGATTTCAAAGAATCTTTTACTAGAGCTATTCTAATATTTACATATCATCACATATTAGTGTGTGACACATGAAAGGATAAATAAATTTTACCACATTCCTTGTAAGATGTATTACTGACCCTTTCAATTTTCTGTCTACATCCTAACCAGTCTCCTCCTAAATCTCTGTTTTCTCTTATTCCCACTGAGGGCGAACTTTCACTGAGCTTTATAATTTTGAACACTTTAATTTACAGAATAAGATAATTAGGATCACAACTATTTGAACATAAATAATAATTCATTCTTAGCATGTTAGTCCCAATGAGCACATCTAACGAGTATATGAGGAAATTTTCATACAAAAAGGTATTAAGTCATAAAAGAAAATTCTAGGTACTGTGTATGTCAGCATACATATGAAATAATTTGTTTTTTAAACCTGGCTTCCAAAAATATCCAATAATATTTTCCAATGGCAACTGTATATAAAAGAAATCTATTAGCATCCACAAAAGTCTTAACTGCAAATTCTGAAATTACCTTTTTTTTGCCTCTTGATTCCCTTTCCTTCTATACTTTTAATTTTTCTTAGTCTTCCAAACTTAATAAACCCAACTAAAAGATTTATATGTGGATACAGGCAACAACTAAACATATTTCTTTTTAGGGGATGAATGATTTTGTGAGAGCGTGTATATATATATAAAACAGCTTGTAAACTCAGGAATAATTCTGAAAATGATCCAAAACAAATTCACCCAAATATTCCACTTCATTTGTTATATAAGATACATGAAGAAACTCTGGAATTCCATATAAACTACCTTTTTAGTGTTGTAGATACTTATGAAAGCAAAAACTACCCAGGTAGTATGTTTCATTTTACCAGCCAAGACAAATTACACATTTTTTTTTTCCTGGAGTGGAAGAGGACAGTGTCTGGTTGTAAGAGCACTTAGATTCAAATTCCAACTTGACCCCATATTGGTTATGTAAACCTTGACAAGTTATTTATCCTCTTTAGGGATTAGTTTCGTTATCTATAAAATAAGGATCATAATACAAACTCAGTGATTTCTTGTGAGGCTGAGATGAGGTAATGTTTGTACACTGCTTAGTATAGTGACCAGTATGTAGTAAGCACTCAACTTTTTAAATTCCTTAATCTGAACCAAAAATATGCTTAATTTAATGTTTTTAAAGGTTTATTTTAAGCTCTTAGAAGCCTTACTACAATATCATTTACTCTAAAGAGTAAAACTTGAGATAAAGCAATCCTCTTTTAAAAAACTCTTCAAGCCTAAATGCAATGTGGTGTCCTGGATGGGATCCTGGAACAGAAAAAGGTCATTAGTGGAAAAACTGTTGAAATCCCAATAAAGTCTAGAAGTTAGTTAATAGTAATGTACCTGTGCTGGTTCCTTAGCTTTGACAAATGTACCATGGTCAAGTGAGATGTTATTAACATTAGGGGAAACCGAAACTGGGAGGGGCATATGGCAACTGTATTCAATGTACACTTTTCTGTAAATCTATGACTACTCCACAATAAAAAGTTGATTACAAAAAATCATCCAAAGGGGATTAACTGCAAAATACCAAAGGGACCTTGTCATAAGGTGGTGTCATGTTGAAGCGAGCCCTGCAATGATCATAATGTATACGGATGTCATATGGTTCATAAATGCAACTGCACACTGAGCCATCAATCCACTTGATGATGCTCTTATACTCTGATTTCCCCTTCTGTCAGTCTTTTATTCTCTTCCCTTTGTGGTTTGTACCCTAAGTTGACATCCCTTCTCTCCTCTTAGAAGGCAGAGTAAGAGAAGGCTTAAAAAGTTTTAAAAAATAAGAAGTACTGGTTACTGACAGAATAATTACCACCATCACACCAAACTGGATTTAATACAGTTTTACGTTTTTATTCATAGGCATTCAGATACCAACCTCAAAAGGAAGACAGGGAAAAAAGGGGAGGGAAGGAAGAAAAGTAAAACCATTGATCCTTGTACTAATGATGTACAAATGTGATTCAAACAAAAATGAAATCAATTGTATGCTTCTCTGTATCTCATATGGAGACTTAAAAACCAGCCACAGTTCCATAGGACTATTTGGACCTAAACACTGCTCAGACTGAAGACTGGTCAAAGAGCTGTGTGTAAGAATAAAGTGAGTTTCCTTTCAGCCTAGCATCTCCCAGCATTGCCGGTATGGTGCTGTAGGACATACATTTATTTTAAAACTATTATTATGTTTACTTCCAAGATTTTTTTGTTTGCTTGCCTTTGCTTAATTTTAGTTTTTAAGAATTGCATGACAGCTTCAGAACTCACTAAAGGTAGTAAGGTAGCTAAGAACTGCATTGGGGATGTTTTGCCCTAAGCCTGCCATTCTTTCGGCAGGAAAATTACTAGTGTCGCATGAAGGCATTGCTGGTCACACCGACCTGTCAGGTGCAGTGGTGCTGCCTCCTGCTGAAGTTAGAGCTTCCCTCCAGCCGGCAGAGATGGCAGAGGTGCTGCTGCCCCTGGCCCTGCCCACTGACCAGAGTGCTTTTCAGGGCTGAGCCAGGAACCAGGTTCAGAATCCTTCTTAACCAGAAGTCCAATCAGCCATGACCACTTTCACAATCGGAACTGGAAAACAATCTTATGAAACCTACATGCCATCCCTGATCTGTGCTATTCACCATGAACAAGGAAAGAAAAGGTCAGATTTAAATGTTATTGCTCTATTTCAATATATTTATGCATTTCAAGAAATGCCTCATTAAGGTAAGATCAAGGAGAAAAATAAACGAAAAGGCCAGAAAAGAAAAGAAGCCACAAGATGAAAGCAAGTTAAATGGTCCTGACAACTTAAAAAAAATCACGAGGCAATACAAGGAACAACTTACTTGTGAGAAAACAACTCACCCATTTCTGCGAGATCTTCATTGAGTTCCTGGAGCCAGAAGATGTCCATGTCGTCTAGGTCATAGCGACACACAGATGCTGCCAACTCCATGATGTTGATGTAGCCGGGTTCTGTGGTTTCTGAGCTGGAGCAGTGGATGTACTTCCGGGGCCGCATATACAGAACCTCCTTTACCTTCTCGGCTACAATCCTAGAAAAGTGAAAGAAAGATACTCCTAAGTCAACAAATGACAGATTCTGGGCACTGACTGGGTGGGACACAGTGGAGTTGAATGCTCTCCTTTTTCACCGTGGGGGGAGGTCCTCACTCTGCCAACTGAGAGGTATGGCAGATCCTCTTCTAGAAAGTAAATGGTTCTACAAATTCAGTTTTGTCATCTGCTGTGAACAGTCTGACTGCTAATGTAATGTTTCATTTACCCTCATCGCTCCTGGGTCCCTATTACCATTCATTCTAATAAAATGTTGCATTGTGTGTTCTTGGTGCAATAGCCACCACATTTGGTTAGAAGGGGAAACCGAGGAAGAGATGATACCAGCACAAAGGCACAGCCAGATGCCATACCAAAGATATATTTCAGCTAAACCCATGATTTTCTGCCACGGATGGTGGTAAAGAGTACAGGCTGTAGACTCACACAAGCCTGTTTTTTTCTGCCACTTACTCGCATAGTGATCTTAGGGAACTACTTCATTTCTACAAGGTTCAGTTTTCCTAGCTAAAAAGTAAGGACAACAGTCATATATTATGATAAAATAATATCAAACTTGTAGGGTTATTACAACAATTACACAAAATAAAATATATAAAGTGCTTAGCATAGTGTATAGTAAAAAACAAATGTTCAATAATGTTATTGTTATATTTCTTATTATTTTCACTATTTATGTAGATGAGGTAAAGCCAAGAGGCCATGGACTTATAAAAACTCCAGGCATTTCCCAGCCATACATGATAGTGACCAGTTCGAGCCAGGGTAACATGATGGGATGAAAGATTCCTGTTCTTCCATCAACTTCTCCAGCAGGTCTGAGCAAACCCATATTTCCCCTCCCTCCTCCTGACACTTAGGAGCCCAAGGCAAGGAAACCAAGCAAGGGAAGAAATAGAAGTTTCTCATACCGATAACTTATTCTATAGTCAATGTTTTAGATACTTTAGATACAGAAAATACAAACAACAGGAAATATGGATTCTTATTTCCTGGCAAATTTAAAAGAACAGAGTGGGCCCTCTAAAAAAAGAGAAAGAAATAGATATATATATCATAAAATAATGAAAATTGTTTCTCTGGAAGGCTTCTGGAGCTAGTTTCTTTACTTGAGTCACTATATATGTAGAAGGATTCATAAACATAAACATATTCATATGAATACATATAAGTATTTATAGGCATAGTCTACCTTGTAAATATACAGTGACTATTTCTTCCTAAGCATTCTTCCAAAAAGTTATGATTTCACATAATATATGTTGAACAAAGTTAATAACTAAATGCATTTGCACATTTTAATTTTTCTATCATATGGAGTTTTTAAAGCCAAAGGCAACAAATATTTGAGGAAAAAACCAGAACCCTAAAATATTAATTGAAGCTAAAAATTTGGGAACTGCTGACAGAGGCCTGCTTCCAACTGAAATGAACCCAACTGAAAAGAACAAGACATGCATATGAATTCTCTAGAAACAATGAAATTAAATATGCTATGCTTATTTGGTGCATGGCCTATGAGGTAATTATAGAATATATAATTTTTTTTCAAGATTCATCTTGTTCTAAAAGGAAGAATATTTTGCTAACTATTCATATCAATTGTCTCAAATCCTCTGTGGAACAAGGTAGACTATAAATGTTCTTGAATTAAACTAATATGTTTATTAAGCTTCTGGAAGAAACCTCAGGATAGGCAAATTATATATATATATATATATATATAAAATATATATTTTAAAGTTTATTTACTTTAAGTAATCTCTACCCCCAATGTGGGGCTCAAACTCACGACCCCGAGATCAAGAGTCCCATGCTCCTCTGACTGAGCCAGCCAGGTGCCCTGAAGGCAAATATGTATATATATATTTTTAACGATTTTATTTATTCATGTGAGATACAGAGAGAGAGAGATCATGAGGAGGGAGAGAGGCAGAGGGAGAGGGAGAAGCAGGCTCCCCACTGAGCAAGGAGCCTGACGTGGGGCCCGATCCCAGGACCCAGGGATCATGACCTGAGACGAAGGCAGATGCTTAACCATCTGAGTCACCCAGGCGCCCTGAAGGCAAATATATTTTAAATAAGACATAAAAGCCATCAGCCATAAAGGAAGAGATTTTAAAAACTTCTGTTCATCACCAATATATAATAAACTCTTACAAATCAATTAGAAAAAGACAGACAATCCAACTAAATAGTGGGCAAGAAACTTGAATAGACACTTCCCAAATAAGGCTATCCAGATGGCAAGAAAACTTTTTAAAGGTTTTCAACCTCATTAGTTACCAAAGAAATGCAAATCGAAATCATAATTACTATTACCTACCAGAATGGCTAAACTTGGAAAGACTGACCAAAAACTGACATTATCTTAAGTGTTTATAAGGAAGTGGAGCAAATAGACCTCTCCTACACTGCTGGTGGGAGTGTGAATTGGTACAACCACTTTGGCAAACTACTTGGCAGCAGATATCATAGCTGAATATACACATACCCTATAAACCCAATCCGGGGAATATACTTAACAAAAAAGTATACATATGTATACTAAAAAAATTAGAAATGTCGGGACACCTGGGTGGCTCAGTCAAGTCAGTTAAGCGTCTCTCTTTGGCTCAGGTCATGATCCCAGGGTCCTGGGATGGAGTCCCGCATCGGGTTCCCTGCTCAGCAGGGAGCCTATTTCTCCCTCTGCCTGCCGCTCCCCTTGGTTGTGCTCTGTCTCTCACTCTCTTTCTCTCTCTCTCTGACAAATAAATAAATAAAATCTTTAAAAAAATAAAAATGTCTATATTGGCTGAAAACGGGAAACAATCCAAATACCTATCAAGATCAGAATGGATAAATAAAATGTGGTATGTGGATCACTACATCAAAAACTAATGATGTATTGTATGGTGACTAACATAACATAATAAAATAAAATAAAAAAAATAAAATGTGGTATATTTACACAGCGGAATATGACACAGAAGTGAAACCTAATGAACTACTATATGCAACAGCATGGATAAACCTCACAACCATAATGATGGACAAAACAATCTAATCTCAGTATGAAGTCAAAAACTGGCAAAACTGTCACCTATGGAGAGGGAAGTTACTGGGTATGAGCAGGAGGGCTTCTGAGATGTTGGTAATGTTCTATTTCTCGATCTGGGTGGCAGTTAAACGAGTGTATTTAATTCTTGAAAATTCACTGAGTTATACAGTTATGCTCTGGTTACTTTTCTGTGTGTATATTATACTTCAACACAAAGTTTATAATGATAATGATGACAATGATGTATGTCACTCATCTTTTCATATATATCTTGAATTGAATCTAAGGACTGAATCTATGACAGTAAAAGTATTATAGACTGAAACAGTTAATACTAAAGGCAAGGAAATGCATGGGTAAAAGGTGAAGTTAATTCCAATCTCACAAGGAGAAAGTTTTATATTTATAGTGATAGAGGGGAAGGTCTATGAGAATTAGTGAAAAATATTACTTTGGGATTTTTTTAAATGCAGCTTTAACATCTTCAAGCACCTATAACACTGCTACAACTGGAGGAAACTCCAGGATTATCCCTGGGTCACTTTCTTGTCTGGCTAATATAGCCTAGGTATACAGACATTCTTTGAATGGTCACCAGACCAAGTGATCAAATCAGCAAAAGCTCACAAGCCCAGAGGTATGAGCAATTTTGATAGGATGAAGTTAAGTAAGCGCAGTTTTTAATTTGGATGCTTGAAATGTAAATGAATGTTGCCGTAACTTTCTGAGTGACCTACCTTTGGTAAAAGAACCCACAACCGTGCCTGCTTAGCTCCCTAGAAAAAAAGGCCTATCCACCTGCTCCTCAGGGGAGGCCAGCTACTTGTGGCCCATGTGAACACTGCTGTGACACCCAGGAGGCAACAAAAGGAAGCTGGAACCACTCTAACCTGACCTATGGCCTCCTCCTGTATCTGATGCACAACTGAGTCCGCAGGGTGTCTTTGGTTGATCTCAGTATCTGGCAGGTAGAGACTATGCTTCATTTCCTAATGATTGGATTAGGATCCTTTGTGAACAGCACAGAAATTGCACAAATATCGTTATCATTATGGATTTTTTAAAGGCTTGAAATAAATATCTTAAAAGCGACCTAAATAGGAAACCCTTGTAATAGTATCTCTAGGAGTAGTTTCTCAAGTTTCCCCTTGTTAATCTTGCCACCTGGGCTGACTGCTTCTTTACAAAACTCCGTGCCTCATTTATGAAACAAAGGACAATTATAACCTCGGTGATGATTGCTATTTTCAAAATCTCACATACTCTTCTACAATGTGACTCTGCTACTCTCTCATCAGGTGGTGAAGTCTATTTCTCCTCTTGAATCAGGGGAGGCTTGTGACTGTTTCCACCAAGAGAATATGGCAGAAGTGATGCTATGAGAAGTGCGAGGCTGGGTCATAAAAGGGAACACAACTTTCACCTTGTTGGCTGGAGCACGTGCATGTGCCCGAGGCCTGCTAAAAGTCTACCTATGCTGAGACTTTTATGCTGTGAGGAAATCAAAACACATGGTAAAACCATGTACAGTCTACATCAGCCCAGCCCAGAGCCCAGGTGACAGACACATTAGTGCATAAGCCTTCAGATGATTCTAGCCCCAGCCACTGAGTCACCCCCAAATTTCAAGTCTTGCTGGATGAGGCCCTAGATAGCATAGAGCAGAGACAAGCCATCCCCACTCTGTCCCACAGAATGCATGAGTATGATAACATGGTTGCCTGAAGCTGCTAAGTTGGGGGCGGTAGTAAATGGGAAAACCACTGAAGGGCTGTTTTAAACTTTAAGTAAGATGTGTGTATGAAAGTGCTCTGTACAAATTGAAAGCAAGAATGGAAGGCTGCTGCCGCATGGAACGGAACAGGAAAGGAGCTGTGGGGAGGGTGGGCCAAGGAGAGCGGGGAGGTGAGGGAGGCATGAGGATGAAGTAGAGCA